TGAAAGTTTTACTGAGAAGTTGGTGTAAACTCATTATAACTGGAAAGTATAATTTACTGATTTGCACTTTGGAGTTCTACAGCTCACTGAAAAAAATTACAAGTTACATTTAAAATCCTTCATATGCTGGTAAAGTGATGCTCCTGTATTTTAGATGTTAGAGCAATTTGAGATTAGCAATAGGTGCTTTTGGACACATGGAAAGTTAACATCAACACATTTTAACTCTATTAATTTAACTAAAGGCTATTCTGTTCCTTCCAGAGCTACTCTCCAGTGATGAATATGCTCAAATACCATCCCTCTCTACATGCAAACCATCAATTGCTTCTATAATTTTAAAATATCTTCTCAGAAATCTGCAAACATTACCTTGTTCTGAGAATTAAAGTATGGTTAATATTTTAAAAACTTCAGATCAGTCACCCTACAAACAGCACACACCTTACACACTTAGCTGAAAAATTGACTTTCAGGTGGCTATTGTTTTTTACCACTAGATTTGTACTTGTCTGGTGAAGTCAAAACAACACTGATTTTAGTATTTTCACCCTGCTGCCTTGCTTGCCTCAGCCACATCACCTGCCCAGCTCTGTAAAGCAGTGAAGCATAACAATAGATTTAATGCAAGTCAGCATGATGACATAAATTGTTGAGCTGTTTAAATAAAGTAATTGGAATCTGGAGTAAAATTTGAGGGCATTTAAGGACCAATTAGACTTACTGAGGTTTGGATTTTCTAAATGCAGCAGAGAAGGAAGCCAGGAGCTTGTCCACCATTCCTTGTCCTATGATTGTCCCTGAAGTCACTCATTTTAAGAGAGAGCTGTGCTTGTTTTTTCTAGTCTCCAACACAATTCTTGCAATAATGTGACCTCTGGGTGGCATTTCAGCCAGGACTAAACAAGAGCTGGTTAAGGCTTGTGCTTCACACAGATGTTTTCCACATCCTGCAATATCTAATTGTGTTGAAACCAGTTAATACACCTGACCATAGCACAGATAGATTCACAGAGAGCTTTCCCTCATTCATTAGCTATACTATGGTTTTTAACTGGGACTTGATAACTCTGGCATCTTTAGTAATTGTGATTCCAGCACACAGGCTTTGGTAAATCTCACTAGATAAGCAAGGTAGTTTCAAGCCAAATGAGACTCCAGGGCAGATGTAGTCAATTCATTTTAGCTTTACATTGGTCTTTTTGCCTGAATCTGTATATTTCAACTGAAATTTGATTGGAGGATCTGTGAGAACTTTCCTTACGAGATTTTTTTTAAATTAAATTGATGCAACAGTGCCCAAAAGTCTCACTCTGCCTTGCATGCATCACCTCAGTTTCTAGGTCTAGGGATATGGGGCAAGCAACCAAATCCAGGCCTGCCCTGACAATGACTAGATGCTGTTCCCCCTTCCCTGGGGTAGCACCTGTAGCTATCTGTCTGATGGACTGTATTGGACAAGACTAAAATATTGCCATTGTCCAATATCAAAAAGAGCATGCCCATGTTTGGATTGTGTTCAGGTTTCTGTTGAATGCACTGAAAACCTCATTTCCATTATCAGAGGCCAAAACTCTAGGCCCAAATTATCTATTAAAAAAACAAAAACAAACCACAACTCCCCAGTACCTCAAATTAAATTAATAATATAAAGTAATACAAAATAATGCTTTTATTTATATAAAGTAGGAAATAAATTTTTAAAAGGGTAAAATATGCAACTTAACACACGCAAAATTTCTGCATTCTGAAAATATCATTGGTCTGTTTATATTTTCCTTTGGTGATTTGTTACAGTTATAATCAATGCCAGACAATGTTGCATGTGAATGACATCTCTAAGCCAGAACAGAGTTACTTACAAACACTGAAGGGCTTTGCACACCATTTTCCAGTTAATTTTAGAAATACATAATTAGTATTTTGAGTGCCAGGGAAATCAAATAAAAGAGCTGCATAAAGCCAGACAATAATACTAACACAAAAAAATTGCACAGACTTTATTCATCAATTGAATGAATACATCCCCAAATGATACTGGCATTTAAAGAGATGTTCACAAAAAGTCTGTAAAAACCAAATGTTTTTAAAACTACACATATCCCATTGGGTGAATGTAACAATGTTCTTCCTTATTCTCTGTTTATAGTCAAAAACTCAAGTTCTTCCATGTCTCTGTCTTGCTTTGTGTTATTAATCTGCCCTGCCATCCTCTGCTCTCTGTGACTGCCAGTGTGTCTGATAGCTCAGCTCCAGGACCTGCTGCCACCAGCACCTCTAATGCCATAAAAAGCACATTGAATGCCACGTGTCACTTGCTGATTCTGATATATTTTTAGTTTATGTACTGCTACAGCAAATCTGCATTAATGAACTGGATGAATTGTGTTTCTGAAGAGAGAAAGGTATAACAGCAGAGTTTTAGAAAAAGATTTGAATCTATTGGAGCTGCAGGTGATGTGTTTATGTATGCTACTATAAAGGTGCCTGATAGCCCTGACATTTTTTTCTCTTCCTAGTGCCCTTAATATTTATTATTGATTGAAAAGGAGATAGCAAGACAAATTTTTCTATTTCTTCTGTGCACAAAGTGTGCTTGTATTTCAAAGTAAGAAGCAATGCAGAATTACCAGGAAAAGAAAATTAATATAACTCCAAGCACAGTGCTTAGAATTGCTAATCTGAGCATGGATTAGTGTGTAGTACAGGGATAGTGTGTAGTACAGCTTTTACAGTCATGGCTGGCTCTATACTGAAGGTCATGCCATAAATTTGTTTATATTTGTGTAGGGGAGAATCTGATGTGTCTCAAGGAGGTTCTTTCAGGCCACTGATGCTGTACATAACTAGTTGCAATTTCAGCCATTTCCTCACCAGTCCTCTCCCTCAGAGCATGAGCATCTTTTGTTGCTTATTTTTAAAGTTAGGAAGGAAGCCTCAAAAGGCAAACACATCTCTGAGCAAGGAATGTGTGTGCTGAGTTTCTGTTCCTCTCTGGCAATTATAGGAGTCCTGTTTAAAAAGAAACAAGGCATCAAGGGAGAAGACTAAGCCAGTCTTTGCAGGGTTGTGTAATCACCTCCTTGTTTGTCTTCCCCAAATGGGATGTTAAGAGTCTAATTCAGTTTTCTGTCTCTGAAGGAATTAAGGCTAGTGCTTCTCCTAAGCCTATCTTGAAAATTTAGGAGGTGCTGAAGCCAGGAGCTGGCTCTTGATGAGTGGATAAGTTTGAGAGTAAATACAGAGCTTTTGGGTCAATCTGCAGTCACTCCTGACACAGTCATTGGTGTGGAGCAGGTAAAGATCTCAATGAGATCCCTCTGTGGATGCTGTATCTGCATCTGCATGTGGCAGAATATGACAGAAGGAAAGGATGGATACAGCCATGGAAAGAATTACTTCTTCTGAGGGGTCATAGTCCATAACACTACACACTTTGGGCCTGAACTGTTAGACAGCTGAGCATAAAACAAAGCTTGTGTGACCCTGAGCTTCTATAACCCTCTCACCACCCATTTTGCACTCAGGAAACTCATCTTCAGGAGCATTACTGGGAGACAGGATCTAACTTAAAACATGCAATTTTATGACCTTCAAATAAGCCCAGAGGTGCAAGGACTGTAGCTCCTGTAGAATTGTGTATTTGGGGTTAAAGCCTCTCAGATTTTCTGATTTGAAAATGTGGACATTGCCATCAAGTTACTTAATGGTGATGGTGCACACTTTCTTTCTTCAGTCAAACACAATGCCATCTCTTTGTTTCCTAAAGTAAATGCTGTGTGTGGAAACTAAAGACATTTTCAGTACTGCTGGCATTTCCAGTAGCATTTTTCCAAACACCTCTGGCATTTCAAATTGATTCATTTCCAGCAATAGGCTAATTGCATTCCTTCAGCCAGAACTCCAATAGTCTGTGCTGCAGAGATAATATGTAAAAGCACAGTTTCTAAAGGAGGAAAACAGAGAAGGCAAATTCTCTTGAAGACAGAGACATAAATGATGGTGCTTTATCATACATCACAGTGCTGAGCTTGGAATAACTTCAACACTGTAGAACATTTGAAGCATTAGGGGAAAAACTCTTCCTAGACACATTAAAGAACTGGGGGGTTTGGTATTTTTCTCCTTTTTTTCCTTTTCCTTCTCTTTATAATGAATTTTTTTTTTTGCATTTTGTTTTGGTATCTTGTTTTTCTACAGCTCTGCACTAAGAAGTGGGGTGTGGTTGTGTTAGCTGCCCCTTTTCTTTGTTGCTACTCCAGCCCCTGTAAGCTGGTTCAGACTTTTCTGCACAATGTGCCAGTGAGTGCTATAAATGCACTCTAGACAGGTGAATTAATTAAGTTGTTATCAGACAAATTGTACATGAGAAACAGTCAAATGACAGAATGAAAAGGAATTGAGCAGCACAAACCCTGAAGAAAACAAAACATAAGAAATCCCCACACTTCGGGAGTGTAAGTTACATAATGGTTGTGTAATGGTTAAGGGGCCTGATGAAGAAGGCTACACTGTATTTCTACAAACCAATTAGTAAATAGGTCAAATTCAGTAAGATACCACATTTTCACAGAGCTGTGAAACCTGATTTCCAGCCTGGCACTGTCCTTCATTTCAAAAAAGGGAATCAGCTGCATATAGAAAATCTTTAATACTCATGTAAAGATGGCACCTGCATCTTGTCCTTCAAATTTGCTCTCCCATTTCACAGATGCATTTTTTTCTCCACACAGCCTTTGTCATCCCAGCATGCAAACAGCAATTGTGTACAGGAATTGTGAAGTGGGATATCTGGTCCACCTCACAAACACATCCAGGTCTCACTGACTTGCTGTGCACTGAGAGTTTTCTGTATGTATGCTGTGTGTCTGAGGATATGGATTTAGAGATGAGGCTTCATCCCTTTTTAAAGTTCATCTCCAGCCCTGTACTATTTACATGCTTGTAAAAAGTTTGCCTTGTATTTTAAGCACTTTTTCTCTTTTCTTTTTAATTTTCAGTCCTAATGCTCTTCCAGAAGAGCAGCCACATTCCAGCTCTCAGTGTGCCCCTCTCAGCTGTCTCTCTAAGCCTCCTCCTTACCCCTAATCTTCATATGCAACGTAAGAGAAAATGCAAACAGAGTGGAGCTCATGCAACAAAGGTTGGGATTGTTCCCAACAAGTGGGTGGACAATCCTGCCTTGTTGCTGCATTGGCAAGTCTGGATTCATATCCCCTGCTCTGGCAACTGAGGGAAGGTTGAGAAGAAGAACACAAAGCACAGAGCCCAACCTATCAAGAAGACTTTTTATGGTTCCTCTGATTGTACTCAAACTGTGCTATCACAACTGAAGTGTAGTGAAATTTAACATCTCAACAAAAATGTTCCTCCCAGCTGCTTGGCTTTACCTCTGAAATGATGAGAGACTTAAGCCAATGTTAAAAAAAAATATGTTACAAAAATCCTACCCTCACATCCTCTAAGTTCAGCCATAGGAACCAGTTCAAATTTCTTTTTGTCTTCAAGGGTGTGATATTTATTTCTTACTTTATTTGCACCAGAATTTTGTGTTTATAAAATGTAGTCCTTTTTTTTTTTTTTTGGTGAGAGTTGTATTTAACTAATTTTATTTTTTAAATCCAAGCAGAAATAGCTTCATTGAAGAATGACTGTGTTAATATTAAAAAAGGCTTGTTGCATTGGCCAGCATATGGCCAATTTTTATTGCACAAAAATGTTGGAAATGGGTTGAATTGGAATGTTAACAATGACTGTATATTTTGCTGCTGCACTGATATTGTTTATGCACTTGTTGTTTTTTAATTCCTATTACACTAGCTTCTGGTTTTGTTCTAGCTCTTCACTGAAAGATAATTATTAAGCCTAAGAAGGAGATGAAAGGATAATGTACTGATTTGTTTTCAGTTGTTTGCTTGCATTGTAATTATACTTCTCGCATCATGAATTGGTGCTGTTTTTTGGGATTACTTTCTATTTGGTATCTGAGAAAGAAAATCTAAAATAAGTCAAATGCTGTGTGCTAATTGAGAACATTCTTTCCTCCCACTCCCATATTCAGGATCCTAGCTCGAGGCCTTACCAGGAAAGGCTAGTTTGAGTGGGGAAGTCGTGTGCATTTCGTGTGAAGTATTCTATGGAGAAAGAACTCATGCAGGTAGGGTTGGTGGTGTGGATCAAAGTCAGCAGGACTTTACTGTAGTGCATTTTTTCCTTGCCAAAAATCAACAGACACAGAACCTTAGCTCATGTCAGTTTATGACAAATACTCAGGTGATCAACACTACGCAGACTCTATCGCAACAGTGCACAGTGTTCCTAGTTAAAGATTCTTTCCTGTAAAAGCTGAGTAAGCCTGGTTTTTTTTCTTAAAAGCAGTGAGTTTCAGAACAAAATTAAGGATAGAGGAATTTATTTTGCACAGTATACCTGGCAGCGAGGAAAGTGGCTAAACGGAGGGTTCAGCATCTGTGGGTTTCCCATCTGGTCATGGAGAAACTTCTAGCTGGAGAAACTAGTCTGCAGTGCTGCCTACTTGTTGGTAACTAGCAGGCTCCTTGTTTTGTTAGGTGGCCTTAATTTATTTACAGAAGAGAGGCTTGGGTATTTCCACATGTCTTTATTCCTTCTCTGCAGCACATGTTTGACCGACAAGTGGGAAACACAGTACAGCCTAAGGTACAGGGCAGCTGGGGAAAACAATTGCTGCAGGTGTGGCTGGAACAATTCTTTCAAATTCTGCCTGAATCTGAGAAAATGAAGTCAGTTTTTTTAGTAACAGTGCTTACCAAATGTTACAATACAGAAACCATCAGCAGAGGAAAGAATCGGTGACCACTCAGTGTGCCTAACAAATCATTCTTACCATAGTACCAAGAACAAAGGTGCTGTAAATAGAAATATTTTATGTCATCAACAACGTCTGTCGTGTAACCTTGGCAAAGCAGCTGAGCTGTAGTAACAGAACACTCAGAGATAGAGAAAATAGGAACAAACTGATACCCAGTCCCGATCAGATCAAACAGATAACACTTGGCAGTGTTGTGACTTTGTTTTCCATGGGGTTCACATGATTCTTCTCATATACCTTTACATCACTATTCAGTATCATAATTAAACTGCCTGTTGTCTTGTCATAGAAAGGTCAAGTAAAACTTGTTCAGCTCCATCATGGTGTCTGACACTGAGTTTAGCTGCTATTTTGATTTTTTTAAACATCCCCATAGTATTTTGTCTGAGGCAAATTCAGCTTTCAAAAAGCATCTCCAGATTCCTGACCTTGTCTGACTGGTGTAAGAATATCTGTGTCCAACAAAGACAGCTACTGTATATTGTCAATAAGAGAAGGAGTTTGCTTAGCACTTTGAATGCAATTACCACTGACTGCACTTGGAATAGTTTTTCCTATTTTCGTATCCAAATCAAAGGCATTTTCCTACACTTTATTTAAGCAGTAATTCCATGAAATACATTTCCTTTCTACATAGATACAAATTTATTGGGGAAAAAAAAGGTATCAAAACAGTTTAGAAACATATGCATGTCCATGTGAATCAAGAGTTATGAAAGAACATCCAGTGGTATGGAAGTTGTGGCCCTGTTTTATAGAAATAAATGTTTTTATTCTCTTAAGTTTTAAATTTTTAATTCCTAAGTTTTCAATTTACATTTTTTTATATGTAATAAAATGTAATTGTTGGAAATGTGAGAGAACTAGAAACAAATCAACTTTGATGTACAAATGGTTGTAGTTATTGCATTGTAAGTTATAAAACTCTGTAGGTCCCTGGGACAACTTTTGTCAGTTAACCAGTATAAAATAAAATAAAATAAAATACATACCTTGAACTTAAGATGAAAACCTCTTCTTTGTTATATATTGATTGATAATATAAAACTTTGTGAGAGATTTTGTAGGGAATATTTACATGCAGACAAAACCAGAAACAAAAGCCTGGGGTTTTTTAAGGGTTGCAAAATACTACATTTTGCCCATTTAAAATTAATTAATGTTGTGTTGATATCTCTTCTGATTTTTAAGGATTAAGAAAAAATGATACATATATTTGTAATGGTTGAGTATACTTAGAAACACTACTATGTGTTCTACTCAGTAAGGAGGCAATTCAAATCCCGACTTTTATGTCTGAAACACAGCTTTTGTTCTCTATGATAGCCTTGAAGTTTCTTTGGATTTGAAATAGCCTACTCAAAATAGGGTCATTTAGGTCAAAACAGGAGCATTTTGGTTTGGGTTTTATTTTCTGATGTAGTGAAAAATGATTCCTTGTTCAGTGAAATGATGTGCTTGTGGAAATCCAGTTTATAGGAAATGTGTGAGGAGAAGAAGAAAAGGAAAGAAATAGAAAAAAAAAACAAACATAAAAGGAGAGAAAGATGAAAAATAAATTTTAAAATATAATAGTAGGGAAAAATATATTTTCTATCAGTCAGAACATATATGGAGGTTTTAAAGAAAGAGGACATAACTGTTTTTCATGCTAATTGTATAGAATTTTCTGCCTTCTAAATGGGGGCAGAAGTGATATTCTTTCTGATTGATCTGATTGACAGGTTGGCATCTCTGTGCTTACTCTATCCACATTTTTCACAGTAAATTAATGTAATCATAGCTATACAGCAGAGTTTGTAGAATGAAACTGTAATTAACGCTGCAAGTTTTAATGCCAAGTGGATTTTCAGTTTGTTTTTTATTTTAAAAACAATGAAGAAGTTGTTTAAGCCATTTACCATATTAATGTGTGTACATAAAGGAGATTATGTTATGAACTATAACCTCACTTATGAAATTTGACCTCACCTATGAAGGCTGCTCACCATAATTATGTTGGAACTACTTAAGTAAGCTGTTAGTAAAATCTGACCCAGTCCTTATCCCACTGGGAATGACACCCAGAGTCTGGGCCCTAATTTTGGTACCAACCTTCTGGTTCATCCTGCATTGCCAAAGTCAGTAGCTGTGCTGCCAGCTCCACTTATAGCTGGACTGACCATCATCATCATCATCATAAGGTATAGATTACATCAGCCTTTCTGAGGTCTGTTCCTTTCTTTGGCAGAAGATGCATATCCACTGAAGTTACAGTAAATTTCTTTCTTTTGTTCCTCGGGAATCTTTGTTTGAGAATGGCAGGGACTGATGTTTTACCTTTGAAGTATGATAATTGCTATAGTTACCTCTTTAAAAATTCCAGTCATCACTTCTTCTTCAGTTTTCCTTTGCTGTGTGTGCAGTGAGTCTGAAAGGGATAGATACTATTCAGATGTTTTTTAACCATTAAGGGTTTTTTTTTTTAGTGTAATTAAGCATCCTGTGGAAAAGAAATAAAAAAGCAATTGCCTTTCGCCTTCAGGCACAAATACATCAAAATATGCAATGGAAAATGTGTGCATGACATTGTTAACATCGTGTAGCTTCTCCATATCCATAACTAAGCTAGAAAATTCTTATTTCTTGTGTGATATGCATATTCCTATTGCTAGGAGGGCAAGAGAACTATCACAAAGAGTCTGTATCTTTCATTTGGAGGTGCACAGCTTAAATCCTTATTGGTTTTTAATCTGTTTCCTGTGGAGTTCTTGAAAATCCCCTTTGTGAAATGTAATGGCAACCAAGTGACAAAGTGACAAAAGGTAAAGGAAAAATCCAATATTTCATTACTGGAGTTAATGTGTGGGCAGACTCTGGGTGATAGAGCCTTGTATTTCAAAAGTGTCTTTCTACAAAGCTATTTGTTTTGATTATCATGATTTGCTGTACAAGAATGGATAAGAGTGTATGTTTTTTCTCAGTGTTAGTAATCGGAGTTTTTATTGAATACGTGGTTGCTCGATTTCAAAAATATTTTGGAAAATCAATAAAGAGAAGCATTTGATAAAAGTTTCAAATAGACTGGCTTGCTAGCTAGTTGGTATTTTATCAGCTATGAGCAAGAAATAAGAGTAATCTAGCTTGTTTTATTATTATTTCTCCTATTCACAGATATGGCTATGTGTGCTATGCCAGTGATAAATAAAGTCCATTTTATTACTTATTTCCCTATTGATTTTCAGCCCTGTGGTTTGACTGTTAAAGGGTTAATTAACTTGATCCTTTGTAAACAATTAAAAAAAAAGAAAACTGATGTTTTGTGATTTTTGTAATCTATTGAATGTTTCCATTTGCATGATGTTCTGTATTTAATGAACCATACAGATTGCTGTGTTCCTTTCAAAAGAGTTTTAGCATTGGTGGAGTTTGTGACAAACACAA